GGAGATACCCATAGGTCCTCAACGGCTATTCTATGGAGATACCCATAGATCCTAAAGGGCTATGATATGGAAGCATCCATGGGCGCTCAAGGGCTATTATATGCAGATACCCATAGGTCCTCAAGGGCTATTATATGCAGGTACCCCTGGGACCTCAAAGGCTATCATATGGTGATACCCATAGGTCCTCAATAGCTATTATATGGAAGCACCTCTGGGCCCTCAACGGCTATTATATGGAGATACCCATAGGTCCTGAAGGGCTATTAAATGCAGGTACCTCTGGGCTCTCTAGGGCCATTAAATGCAGGTACCTCTGGGTCCCCCGGAGCTATTGTATGCAGGTACCTCTGGGTCCTGAAGGGCTATTATATGGAAGTACCCCTGGGTCCTCAAGGGCTATCTCTATGGGGGTATCTTTGGGTCCGCAGGAACTATCCTATCGGGGGTACGTCTGGGTCTTCAATGGCTATCCTATGGAAGTGCCGATAGGTGCTCGAGGGCTATCCTATGAGGGGACCGTTAGGTCCGCCAGGACTATTGTATTGAGGAAGCCACAGGTTTTCAAGGGCTATTGTATTGTGGTATCCATAGATCGACAAGGGCTATAAGGGAGTAGGGGATCAGGAGATAAGGATGTAAGAGTAAAGGAGATAATAGGCTAAGGCTGCATGGGCATAAGGGATAAAGCTAAAAGAGTATAAGGGGATAAGGGTATATGGTATAAATGGATAAGGCTGGAAAGGATATAAAGGATAAGGAAATAACGGAATAAGGCTAGAAGAAGTACTACAACAAGAGTATGAATCTACAAGAGTATCAGGCTTTACGATCTCTATACATATGTAATGCGAACTGGGTTTTTGTCTATTTCCAAATCAAGGCTAAAGGACAGAAGTGAAACGTCACAGGAAAAACAGCATCCATGCAGTATGCACGGGCTCTCGTTAGTATAGAATAATGATGAGAAAGACTATCCATACTCACTTGTAAATGGCATACTGGATCTACTGTTTGGGCAGGTTTATGCTTCGTAACAGCAAGTCGTTGATAGTAAAGCACGTATGTGTTAGCTGTGGTTTGTGTAGATAAGAAAAAATACATTAATTACATCGTATTGTGTGCATATTCAAGCGCATTTGTTTTTGTCTCCGTATACCTGTCGTTTTGCTTATTCTCCATCATACGCGCAAAGAAAGACAAAACGTCGTTAATATTTGTTGGAAAAAAAATACAGCCACGGTAAGTATTGGTTGGAAAAAATTGAAGGTATACTTTTGTAATCACTATTCTCACTTATTGTATGTATATGGATGAATGCACATAAGCCAAGCTTATTTTGCGATATATATAAATGCAATATAATGCTTCAGTATTACACACAAACAACATCAATCAACCGTATTTGTATCCTCATCCTTGGTAAGTAACGTTTTAAAATTATACCACAATTAAGTATATGCCTTTTGAAAGTTGAGTCTCTTTCGTTATCTTGTATAGTTGTCAGTGCTAAGTAGAGTTTTTTTCTGTAAATAATACTACTAATATTCCATTATGTTTTAATCATTATCGATATGACCTAATGCTTAACATGTTCGACACATACTCCCAAGATATTGTGCTTGAACCTCGGCTCCATCAGTGAGGATTTGACGTTCGAGAAGTCACTGAGGACTATTTTTTCTCGGATCATCCATCCAATAACAAACTGGCTACGCGTGGTTAATATCTGGTTAATGAGCATATACATGGGGAGCTTAAGTGATCAAACAAGAGAACTATGAGTCAGACTTATCTTCTGATCAGATCTACATTTAGTAATAGACGTAGGAAAAATATTGGGCTATCAAAACTGTTCTCGAGCAGTACTCTACACTGCAAGGTATGCAGAAGGCAGTATATTCTTATTTTTCTTGTTTGATTGTGTCATCATAAGTTTTTTTTGCAGAAAAAGCTTTCGCTAATTCGTTATCTAATGAATAGTAGAGACTATCTATTCTTAAAACAGTTTGGTCATTAGATTTCAGTAACAAGGATTGTGTAACTAGTTTTCGAAGTCTGCTGTAGGATGAGAACATTTCAATATTGGCTTATTTTATTATGAAAGAAGTTATGATCCCGCTTTAAGGTAAATATGATATTGTTTGAAGAGTGATTGCTCAAGAATTTTTGTTGAAGCAATTTATTTTCAGTGAATTTTCGACGGAGAATGTGCTTTTGATAAAGTCTTTAAAGCGAATAAATTTAATGGAACAATATTTTATTTTCAAAATATTTTTTTAATGTTCTCTCACTGCTCATCGAAATTATTTGAGAGTAGAGGTACGAAGAAAACGAGATCATAAGGTTTTCGTCATGGCAATGTCTCATACAACTAGATATTTCGTTTGAATCTGATATACTAGACAAGATCACATTCGATTTCAGATAGGAATAAGAGACTGAAGTGTTATTAGTATTATTCATATACATATACAAACATAAATGAGTGATGCTAAACAGTTCGAATACATTCCATCTCATCTCGTATGCTTTCCCCATGTCATCCATAAAAAGCGGGATAGTATGGAAGCATACATATATATATATAAATAGAGAGTTCTCAAGACCTAACATACTCACCATGAAGAAAATTATAGAGACAACAACTCTGCATCTCTATATGTAGTAAAGATGAAGGAGACACCTGCGAATAGAAAAATAAGAGTGTCGCCGACTTAGAATTATTAGAATTTGTAATGGTTTTTAGGTATAGTGAGATTCTATGTTCATGTCTATTGTCGTGAGGAAATCCGACAATCTAGACTCTTAAAATCAACTGTTTTGAGAAATATTTAGCATTGTTTCTGGCAAAATTGAATTCGAAATGAGAAATCATATAGATTCACATATTTCTACAATGATTATTATTTGAAGATCGTCTACTTCGGATTTACTCATCACCTAGTTTGCTAGCAATCGATTAAATCTATTTATGTTCAAAATTATGTTTTAGATTCATCGCGTTTCACCTAGAGAAAAAAAGGAAAAAGATGATGCGATTAGTGTTAGTAATGTTGCTTATGTCAGCACTAATCAGTGCTCACAATGGTTCAGATGGTCAAGGAGGTCAAAATGGTCAAGGCGGTCAAAATGGTCGAGATGATGACCATGGTCGAGATAATGATCATGGAAATAATCGATGTGATGATCTCGGAGGTGACACCTTTCAAATTAGAATAAACTATCGTAGTTTCTCAGCCTACGAAGTAGTGCAACTTCACGCGGACCACACAAGTACTTCAATTGACAATAAACAAAATGGTTTCAGTCCACAAGCAGGAATTGAGCCTCAACCATTTAGTGCTCAACTTGGAGAATGGAAATGTATTGGAAGAAATCGAGTTGAAGTTCGCACTGCTAATTATAATTTTCAAGTTACTGGCAGTTCTACTCCAAGTACAGTGGCCATTAATATTCTGGTTTTGAATTTCATTGGCAATTCTGGTTTTGTCAGTGGAACATTCAGATTCGACTATTTTGCACTTAACAGCTTTATCAATAATGCGAATCCACGACCATTGCCTGGTCAATCATTTGGACCATACCCAGTTAACGGTCGACGATCCAATTTCTTTAGACGCTAGTCTAACTAAACTAGATTATCGACAGCTAAAAAAAGAACTTCGGAACATTGATACTTTCATTCTTTTTTTTTTTCTTCTTTTTCCTATATATTTTACTCATTTTATGTTCTGAAATAAAGAAATAGATCCATTTGATTGTCATAATTCGAGACCGGTTGAACAAAGAAAGTAAGCCATCTCGTTACATCACTGAATAGCAGAGAAAACTCATAAAAAGATTGCGAAATATCAACCGTATGACGTAGAAAAGAGTGGTTCCTGTTAGTCGGCAGGATATCAATGCCGAGTATCAGCGGTAGTTTTGGAAAGGCAACGTTTCAGAAGAGTAAGAAAGCCTTCATTTGATTATGTTCTGGATTATGAAGATGAAAAAAAGTTAGTAGTGTCATTTTGAGTTCGAAGTGGCGATGATTGTTATGTTATTAATTTTTGGATCTGTCTAGTGGACATATGTTTATTTGAATGGTAAATATCTCGATCGCTTTCTGAGTTATGATGATGAAATAAATAGGTAGGTACTTGTGATCGATTGGTGTCCAGTTGCAGAAGGCGGTACCTGAAAACTCTTGTAGGAATATTATCTGGTATCTCTTCCTGATTTATTTTTTGTATGTGTAGATTACTGTTTGGTTGCCATTTCTGTGCGGTAGGTTTTATAGTAAAAGCAGAGTAGACGAGCAGCAAAACGAGCAAAGGCACTAGACTGAAAGTTGAATTAGCCCTTATTCTTTAATGTATGCGACAGAATTAGCCTTGATACATTGCGAAGAACAGTGAATTTGACGTACGCCGTTTCAGACTTGGTGTGAATTATAATGAATATATACACTTGTTCAAAAACTGATCTAACAATGGAACCTTTTGTATTGATCAAAAGCTTTGTTAGCCATGTCTCGGCCAAATTATCAGTCTCACTGAGAAACTAACAAATTTAAAATATTACATTACCATAGCGAGCCCGAACTGAGATAATCGATTTTTAAGATATACACAGTTTTGGTATGTGAACATAATATTATGGGAACTATTCACATCCAATGTTTTACATAATCGTCAAGTTTTTCAGGGAGTATATTTTTGAAATCTTGTTGAAATTTATCGATGACATTATGATCACACTAGATTTATCTTGTTTTAGTGAATTTACTAGTGCCAAAGTGAGAGCAAAAAAATATCTGTATTATGTTTCAAAAATGAAATGTATATGAGATATCTAAAGATTAAGTGTATTAATGCATGACTTTATGGGTTATAAGTTGCTTCTTTGTGATTGGTGGTACGAAATCACCATCAAGTGTGCTTTTAAAGTAACGTTCTCTTTTATTCTATATCACCACTATCATTTAAGAGAGGTCTATTTGATCGAAACAAAAAATAAATGAATTTAGTTAACATCGCAAAGCATCTTCTTTATCTGACGAAAAGAGAGTTTTCCGATGAAGAGTGAAGAACAAGTGCTGATGAAATTGCTGCGGCAGAGCAATTATTTGAAGTTCTAAAGTCATTTAAGGACAATCACTTTAATGAACTCGATGTATATCAAAGTCTCGACTTCGATGATAAATATAATGAAACAGAAACTATCGATGATTTTGATGATTTTGATGAAAACCAAGAACTGAATATTTACAATCATTTTATATTAGAGGAAATGGAAGAGATAATTGAATGGGTTGATCAACATCCAAATTATAAGTTTAACAGTATTAAACATAGATTTCAAAAAGTCAAACATCCCTATTTTATTCCAAGATTTCGAGAATATGTTAAAAAGAATGGCACAAGATTTGAAAAGCTCGAAAAAATCAAGCAATTTATGTGGGATGAATTTTATATCAACCGAGCTATTGAAAAAGAAGCTGTTCATGATACTGATTTAGAACTGTTTGCAATTCAAAAAGCACGAGAATTAAAATGAAATAATTTTAAAGCTAGTGAATATTTTCTTACGAAGTTCAAGAAAGATAATCGAATATTATCACGAAGATACAACAAACTTGTTACTCGAGTCTCCTCAATCAGAAAAGTTTCCAGCTTGGAAGGTATTTATACTTATTCGAAGTTCTAATATAATTGTCTTAATATACAATGTATCTGTGGTTTTTAGATGCTCAAAATTGGGTCAAAAATCAAAAAAAATTATCTTCAACTACTCTGCTGATCAAATATTGAACAGTGATCATTGCTCATTTCAACAAGAATATATTCCTCCAAGAACTCTGTCCTTCGTGGGTGAACGAACAACAGAGGTGGCTGTTAAAAAGAAAACTAATGTCACGCACTCTTACACAGTACAGCCTATAACATCAGCTACTGGTCAATTATTAAACAAATTCTTACTCATTCTACAAGAAAAAGAGAATGAGTTTGATGTGAAAGTGCAAAAGAATTTAAACGTGCCACCAAGTGTCGTAGTACAACCTTCAAAATCTGGAAAAAGCAGCGATGAAAAACATCGCATCTTCTTAAATGAAGTTCTACGGCATTTGATTGATAGAAAATTCCTTCTTTTTCTTTATTGTTGGAAAATTCAAGTTGATCTAACAAAATTTAAAGCAATGTTTCCCAATCAAAACAGTCAACTATTAATTTTTCCTCAAGGATCAACTCATCATAGGCAACCACAAGATTTGTCTTTATTTCGTTCATGAAGATATTTTCAAAAGAAAATAGAACATTATATTCATATTAATAGAACAGAAATGACCACTACAGATCGTCAATATTTTATAAATATGCATTCTATTATTCACAATCAACTATCTGCTCAGCAATTCCAAAAATCTTATTAAATCTGGATTTCTACAAGCTAAAATAATTAACGAAACAATTGGCAAAATTAGCAAACCCAAGGATATTTGCTTCAAATTTTATGACCCTTATTGTTCGACTATTAACTGTAACGAGCGAACGCTCTTAACATGTACTTTGTGCAAAGAATACTTTTGCAGCTATCATTTCATTGAAGATCATCATCTCCATTTGTAGTATTCTATTGTTTTCATATGAAATAAAATCAAAAGCACTAATAATCTACGAGATTTTATAGGAAATTGACGACTTTTTCCTCACTTTGGTACTAGTAAATTCACTAAAACAAGATAAATCTAGTGTGATCATAATGTGATCGATAAATTTCAACAAGGTTTCAAAAAAAATACTCCCTGAAAAACTTGATGATTATGTAAAATATTGGATGTGAATAGTTCCCATAATATTATGTTCACATACCAAAACTGTGTATATCTTAAAAATGGATTATCTCAGTCCAAGCTCGTTATGGGGATGTAGTATTTTAAATTTGTTAGTTTCTCAGTGAGACTGATAATTTGGCCGAGACATAGTTAAGAAAGCTTTTGATCAATACAAAAGGTTCCATTGTAATATTAATGTAGGTACAGATGTCGTGAAAGTTTTTCTCCATTTCACAGCAAACTACGCAGTAAGTTCCTAAACTGAACACGCCTTAACAGTGAAAATATCTAATAGTCTTCATGATATTCGCAATAAGGAAGTTTTATTGTATTGAAAAGATAAGGTATTTGTTAGGAAAATTAGTTTTTCATCTATCTGTTTCATTCAATTGTCGTAGATCTGAATGCATGCAAGACTAATATCAATCCATTTAAAATAAAGTTAAAGAATTGAGTCATATTCTATTGAAGCATTGTTAGAAATCAAGAACATAGTTAATCTTTTTGTGCCAGATTTGATTTCTACACAGTCTTCAATCAACGCAGGGTATTGCAATAAACTCATGCTTTTCCTTAATTAGTGATTGTATATTGTGCCCTATGTTGATCTTCAATTCAATATGATTTGATTCTAATTGTTAGCTAAAATAATATCTTGTTTGAATAAGATTAATTATTCTTTTTGTTTGTCTGACGAATGTCCCACTTGAACAACTGATGTTTCATAGATTAAAGTTTGTCTTTTTCAATTTGATGAAGATGTTTAAATTCAACACAATTGTTATAATATGAAAACATTTGACAAAGAAAAAATTCCTATAAAATCTATGAAAAAAGAAAATGTAACAGGTTTTAAATTTCATTGAAGTCTTGTAAACTCTTTGATACAAAATTGACAGTGCAAAACGGCAAAATTCCGTTTTCTTTAGTTGCCATACCGTAAACCGAATAAATTATATCAGAATATTTTACGTCTAAATAATTATTTGAATCATAGCTTTGATTCATCCATGTTTCATATGTTATCAATTCACGTATACATCTGCACAAATACTTGAATATTAAATTGTGTTTCATATTAATATGTAAATGGACACTTCATTACAAATATATCGAAAAATAAATATTATTGAAATAGAACTTGTAATGAAAAAAGGAAGTATAGTAAAATAAATGTCAAATATAATAATAAAAAACACAGAAATTCAAGAAGTTATTTTTATTGCATAAAGTTTGTAATTTGATTATTCATATACAGTTGAATAATTCTTCTCTTTGATATCATTAACTAGTGTGCAGCTTGAAAATCAACTGTTCTGTCATTAAGATGAGATAGAGTAGATATTTTATTGAACTATCTGAACTTATAAATGTCTTTTATGTCTTCTTGTTCTAGAAAATATTATATCATATCATTCATTCTTATCAGATGAAAACGAGATACTTGACTTTTTACATTTTGTTCTTATGATTTGTATTGACGTCATATTGGTCATGTAGTTGTCAACAGAACAGTCTATTATGCTCTAATGATTGCAAAGTAAAAAAAAGAACAAACAAAAAAAATAGCTTTGAATCACTATTTATACTTTATATCAGGATGTGCACTGTCAATAATTTTATTTTCGTCATTGTCACGCCGAGAACAAGACAAGCAACTTATCAGAATCAATAATAAAACATCAAAGAAAAAAATCATTCTTTGTTGTTTTGCACTTTAGTAGAATTTCGAATTTTCTGTTGGTGAATTCAAATCGAAATAATAATTAGGTTTCTATTTTACATTCAAAATACATTAATCACTAC